ACAAACCGTCCCGTCCCGGCTGCGAAATGTGCTGCAGCGAACGACCCCTGAATTACGTCATCCCGGAAGGCTATCAGCTGGATGCAGAGGAGCGAGAATGGCTGCAAAGGGATTTGGAAGCCACACGCCAGTACGAGCAGGTGAGGGGTGGGGCTTGCCAGCCACACCTGGGTGGAGGGATTGATCTGAAGAGCCCTGGTGGTGCCGTGGTTAGAATGCTGCGTTGCAGGCTGACTCTGCCCACTGCCAGCAGTTCGATCCTGGCTGGCTCAAGGTCGACTCAGCCTTCCATCCTTCCGAGGTCGGTAAAATGAGGACCCAGATTGTTGGGGGGACAACAGGCTGACTCTGTAAACTGCTTAGAGAGGGCTGTAAAGCAATGTGAAGCGGTATATAAGTCTTAAGTGCTAGTGTTCTATCCACCCTCTATATCTCTCATCTATCTGTCATCTCTGTCTCTACATATTCTCTCTCTCCTCTTTCTCTCTCTATCTCATCTATCTCATCTCTATCTATCTATCTATCTAAAGTGCTATTTCTATTTCTCTACTCTACTCTACTCTATTGCCATGGTATATAAATGCTATTTCTACTCTAATCTACTCTACTCTACTGCCATGGTGTATAAGTGCTATTTTTATTTCACTCTACTCTACTCTACTCTACTCTACTCTACTCTACTCTACTCTACTCTACTCTACTCTACTCTATTGACATGGTATATAAGTGGTATTTCTATTTCACTCTACTCTACTCTACTCTACTCTACTCTATTGACATGGTATATGCTATTTCTATTTCACTCTACTTTACTTTACTCTACTCTACTGCCATGGTATATAAGTGCTATTTCTATTTCACTCTAATGTACTCTACTCTACTCTACTCTACTCTACTCTACTGCCATGGTATATAAGTGGCATTTCTATTTCACTCTACTCTACTCTACTCTACTCTACTCTACTCTACTCTACTCTACTCTATTGCCATGGTATATAAGTGCTATTTCTATTTCACTCTACTCTGCTCTACTCTACTCTACTGCCATGGTATATAAGTGCTATTTCTATTTCACTCTACTCTACTCTACTCTACTCTACTCTACTCTACTCTACTCTACTCTACTGCCATGGTATATAAGTGCTATTTCTATTTCACTCTTCTCTGCTCTACTCTACTCTACTCTATTGCCATGGTATATAAGTGCTATTTCTATTTCACTCTACTCTACTCTACTCTACTCTACTCTACTCTACTCTACTCTACTCTACTCTACTCTACTCTACTCTACTCTACTCTACTGCCATGGTATATAAGTGCTATTTCTATTTCACTCTACTCTACTCTACTCTACTCTACTCTACTCTACTCTACTCTACTCTACTCTACTCTACTCTACTCTACTGCCATGGTATATAAGTGCTATTTCTATTTCACTCTTCTCTGCTCTACTCTGCTCTACTCTACTCTACTCTATTGCCATGGTGGCGCAGTGGTTAGAATGCAGTGTTGCAGGCTGAATAGAAAATAGAATAGAAAATGGAATGGAATAGAATAGAATATCCTTATTATTGTGTAACTCAAAACAAAATTAAGTCATTAAAAGCCAAACAGGTAAGAAACTGTACCCTCCCATCTCTCTTTGGTTACAGGTGGAAGAAGAAGAGAAAGAGAGAAACTATAAGCAACTCCTGGAGTGGGACAACCAGAATTTGGTGCTTTCTGAGGAAGCCATTCAGTGCCCAATCTGCTTCATGAACCTGGAGCCTGGAGAGGGGGTGACCCTCCGGGAATGTCTCCATTCCTTCTGCAAGTAAGCTTTGGCTCCAAGGTCTTAGGAGACATCTAAGATGGGTTTATGTAACTGGTCTCCCTAGTATGGGAATTGCTAGTTCCTACCTTGGTGATCTCTTGATGGTCTTAGGAGACATCTAAGATGGGTTTAGGTAACTGGTCACCCTAGTATGGGAATTGCTAGTTCTTATTTCGGTGATCTCTTGATGGTCTTAGGAGACATCTAAGATGGGTTTCCATAATTGGTTACTCTAGTATTGGAATTTCTGGTTCCTACCTCAGTGATATCTTGATGGTTTAGGAGACAGCTAAGATGGGTTTATGTAACTGGTCACCCTAGTATGAGAATTGCCAGTTCCTACCTTGGTGATCTCTTGATGGTCTTAGGAGACATCTAAGATGGGTTTATGTAACTGGTCACCTTAGTATGGGAATTGCTAGTTCTTATTTCGGTGATCTCTTGACGGTCTTAGGAGACATCTAAGATGGGTTTCCATAATTGGTCACTCTAGTATTGGAATTGCTAGTTCCTACCTCAGTGATTTCTTGATGGTTTAGGAGACAGCTAAATTCAGAGCTCTTGGTGATCAAGAGGTATCAAAGCGTGTGGTCCTTGGTGCTGTCTGAGCTTGGTGGTTTTCTTGCAGACATTTCATTACCCAACTAGGGAACCTCATCAGTGCTAGCATCAAGCTCAGAGAGCCCCAAGGACCTCACAGTTCAACCCTCAGCTACAAATACTCTCTTCTGTCGGTGTCCAGGTGTGCTCTTCGTGGCCATATCAGAATTCTCTGGAAGTTCTTGGAGTGGTTCAGTTGTATGATGATCTCTTCTGTACTTTCTCCCTGCATCCTCAGGGACTGCTTGAGAGGGACCATCCTCAACAGCCCAGAACCGGAGGTCAAATGCCCCTACATGGACGATAACTACTCTTGTCCCGGACAGCTGCTGGACCGCGAGATCAAAGCGGTGAGTATCCTAATGGACCTCCAAACCAGTGTTTCGTCCCCACTTCTACTCTTAACGTTCCTCACCCCTGCCCCAAGAAGAGAAGAGCTGTGGCTTTCCAGAAGATACCCACCCTCAGGCCCAACACACAAAGGGTGAAGGATGCTGGGGCTTGTAGTTCAGCAACATCTGGAGCAAGGTCTCCTAACCACTGAGATTGGAGAACATATTTGGAATTTTGATCGTACACTGCTCTCACAAAATGGTGGACACAGCAGATATAATCACAGGAGATAGATAGACCAGTCTGACAAATTCTCAGGTTATTTTCCTGCCTGTCTAATCTATATCTAACCCATCTATCCATCCGTCTCTCTGTCATCTTTCTAACTTTCTATGTCTAGAATCTATCTAATCTACAGTATTGTATATCTATCATCTATCTTTCAATTAGCTATCACGTGTATCTATGTATCAATTTATCCATCCCTCTATGTTTCTATCACCTGTATCATCTATCTATCTTTATTGATCTATCTAATTGCTATCATCTGTCCATCCATCCATCCATCTCCATCCATATCTATCTATCTATCTGTCTGTCTGTCTGTCTGTCTGTCTGTCTGTCTGTCTGTCTGTCTATCTATCTATCTATCTAATCTTTTATCTATCTATCTATCTATCTATCTATCATCTATCTATCTATCTATCTATCTATCTATCTATCTATCTATCTATCTATCTATCTATCTATCTATCTATCTATCTATCTATCTATCTATCTATCTATCATCGTGCCAGTTTTTACCAAAACTATCATAAAACGTGGCCATGTGACCAGGAAGACTGGTCACATGACTGTGGCTATTAGAACTTTGTATCTGGCTTATAAGTGGCCTTTTTGAGGTCGGTCATAATTTTGACAAGGTCGCTAAGCAACCAGTTGTAAGTCGAGGACCACCTACCTCCTCCTCCTGCTGTGGGTTCCACAGGCTAAAATTTCATGGAACGATTGTCCCAGCAGATTGTCCCTGTTTGAGCAGGATCAGGAGGAGCAGCTGGAACACCCTGCAAAGATCTTCTCTAAATTCTTCTCCATTTCA